TGGTGCCAAACGTATATTTAGTAGATCTGTCAAAGAATACGGATTGCAGTATACTAAATTTTATGGAGATGGTGACAGTAAAAGTTATCCAGCTGTGAAATTTACTTATCCTGGTGTTGAAGTTGAAAAGTTAGAATGTGTTGGGCATGTTCAGAAACGAGTTGGGACACGTCTAAGAACATTAAAAAAAAACATGAAAAACCTCTGTGGCCGTGGAAAGTTAACAAACGGTGTTATTGATAAGCTTCAGAATTATTATGGGATTGCGGTGAGGAGTAATAAAAACAATTTACAAGGCATGAAGAAATCCATTCATGCTACACTTTTTCATGTTGCCTCATCAAAGGAAAATAACTGGCACACTCACTGTCCAATTGGTGAAAATAGTTGGTGCAGATATCAGAAAGATAAAGCAACAGGCAAATCAACGTACAAACCAGGTGCAGGACTTCCACTATCAATTATAAAACATTTAAAACCAATATATGCAGATTTAAGTGAGGAGTCTTTGTTACGTAAATGTTTGCATGGGCAGACACAAAATCAAAACGAAAGTCTAAATGCAATGATTTGGGATCGAATTCCAAAAACTAAGTATGTCAGCCTAATACAGTTAAAATTTGGAACATACGATGCTGTAGCAAACTTTAATATTGGGAGAAAAAGTTCTCTTTTAATTTATAAACAGTTAAACATGACACCTGGGATATATACATCAAGTTTGTGCGATAATCAAAATCGAAAACGTATTTACTTAGCTGGTTATAAAAATCTAGAGTCATCCAAGAAGCGGCGAAAGATTCTACGAGGGTTGTCAAAAGCATCAAAGAACAAATATGAAAACTTTGAAGGAAGTCAGTATGCCCCTGGGTCATTCTGAAACATTATTTTAAACATAATTTAGTTATATTTCATATTTTTTGTGAAATTTTAAATTTTTTTTTTCTATTTTTGCGTTTTTTTCAAAATAAGGTTTTTAAATGCCCCGGCTGTGATAACTTTGGAACCGCTTGGTGTTTAATGATGAAATTTTCAGTAATTATCCTATTATATACCTTCTGTGATTTGAACCTCCACTTTTATGAAATACCTGACAGAACACGTTCTATGCCTATTTCAGTTGCCTAATTTTGACCCAAATTCATTAAACGATAATATATTCGCCCCCTGAAGAACTAACTGTCATATTTTTTATAAAATTTTAGGTTCAGATCACAGTTCAAAGTATTAGTTAATGGGAATTGCAGTATGACAGTTTGAATATATGTAGTTCTTCGGATAAGTTAGCCGGGGCATTAACTGTTTTTTGGTTATTTTTCCAATATTTTCTTGGTTACCATGGCAACAGAGCACAATTTTTAAAAATTTTCATTCTGAAATATAAAATTTTTACATTATATACTGTTTAAAATTAATCTTACTGTTTGAACATGAGTTTTAACATTTTTGGGGTACTTCCCCCTTAAAAGGGATTTTAGTGAAATATACAGTACTTACATCAATTTTGTTATGATTTCCTGTATAAATATTAATAATAGAAATTGCTTAAAAATTGAAGAAAAATCAATATATGTGGGGAAGGGGGGCCTCCACATCCATGTCTGTCAGGGCCCCCAAATTGCTCTGTCCGGCACTGTACACATTACATCATTTTAAACTCAAAAAATCTAAACTCAAAAATCTTTTTGGTTCCAGAACATCTTTTATTACAACAACGCCTGTGTATAGAAGAAAAGTTCTAAATTCAGAAGCCTTCCACTGATTAACTTCAGTTAGTTCAAGTGTCTTGTTACAGTTAGTTCAAGTGATTAACTTCAGTTAGTTCAAAATCTTAGGGTAATTTTCCTTTTATTTCACTTAAACGGTGAGATATTGCTATCAGATTTGCAAAGGCCAGTCTGCCTGAAAAAAATCTGTGGATATCTTTCTTTTTAAATGCTCCTAAACAAACTAAATGCATATAATCCAATGAAAACCGATGAACAAGATCTAGTTGTTGAATTTCGTAAAACGTTGTCACTATATGCTGATGAGATTTGTTTTTATTATCTAGTTGAGCATTCTGACCCGAACGCAAACCACAATCAGTTCTTTTTAAAACCAAATTATTATTAATTGTACCATAAACTATACGACCTTTCACAAACACACCAACCTCATCACACCTCTAACAGGCATGGTAACCATTGTGTTGCACAATACCCTTTAAAAGACTGCGAGCAGGTGATTCACATGGAATCGCAGAGATTGAGACATAATAGGACATACCGCATAAAATAACTATTTTAATTTGTAGCTCTTTCAGCTCATGTGCAAAATCGGTCAAAAAATCAATAGTATTGGTTTTTTCTGACCATATAATGCAACAATAAAAGTTTAAAAAACACAAAATTTTGATGTGATAGGCCATACTTGATATCCAGATGATTTAAAAATAGAAAGACCATCTGTATTAAAAAGAAGCTTAATTTCATCACAGTTACACGCACTGCGCTTTAACATAGTTTCAAGGCCGTCCTTTATACCAAGGTATATATTCTCCTTCATTCATTTTGGTTTTATCAACTTTGTACAATGTTCCTAAAATTGTTCTTGAATCTTTCGAAAGTTGGTAACCATGATTTCTTAAAATGGTCAATAAGTCATGAACACATTCTCGTGAGTGAGATGTTTTAACACCCAAATACGAATGTCTTTTAATAATAATTAACTGCTATCAGTTTTTAAAATTATATAATTTTTTTCTTTAATTAATTTGCGTTTTAAGTGTTAAATTGCTTACATTTTGAGGCGCGCTTGGCAAGGTTTTGAGGCGCGCTTGGCAAGGTTTTGAGGCGCGCTTGGCAAGGTTGTGGGTTCAAACCCTCCGAGTAAAAATCTGTTTTAGTTTTTATGTTTTGTTTTAAGTAGTTTTATGTTTTTCTACTATTATTGTTGTTTGTTTATAGTTATGGTTATTATTTATTTTTATTTTTCAAAGTTTTATAGAACAAGTGGATCAATGCGTATATAAATCGACTGATTTTATTTAAGTGACTGACTTAAATACAGATAGACGCAGTAAAGTGTGCATTCTTCAAGGAAAAGCGGAGTGCATATTCATTGACTGAGGGTTTAGTTTTTGGGAAGCATTCTATTATTCTTTTAAATATAAGAAAAGAGTTTTAATATTTATTTAAATAGGTTTTATAAGGTAATTTAAGTTATATAAAAAAAAATTATAAAACTAAATTACACAAAATTTCTGGGTAAAGTAATCAAAGTAATTAATGTTTAAATACGTAAAAAAAAAAACGCTCACAAACGCTAAAAGTGTGTTTACCGTGAACCTTAACAATTATATGTACTTTTTTAAAACTATTTATAAATTCTAAAAAACTTTTATTTTTTAGCTTGTTTAATTGTTTTGTTTAAAAAGTTTGTTTAGTTGTTTCGTTTTTTCTTGTTTTTTGTACATACATTGATTGACTTAAATAGGTAAAATATGTACGGAATGTACATCCAATGACTAAGGTTTGTTCTGGCAATATATCAATTTAAAATAAATATTTTTACATAATAACGTAATAAATTACCCTATAGGGATGATCTGGTCTCGGAACATAAACACTCTCTTACAATGGCGAATAACATTTCGCGTAGGCGTGTTACAACTTTGAACGGTCCATAGACAATCAAAATAAAAATTGAAACTAAATTTGACTAATTTGATCCTCCATAGACGTCTATTTAAGTCCTAGGACGTCAAATTCCTACCGGGTAAGTAGTCTGTAAACCGTTTTCTTGCTCTTTAAATCTTTTTTTATTTAAATGGCGAATAATATTTCACGTAGCTTTTCCATACCGGGGTGTTAAAAGACGTTTGAAGAAAAATCTTTAAAAAGTTTTTCTTAAAATGTCTTTTAACACCCCGGTATGGAAAAGCCCTCCATTTAAAGGAGGGTTCATCTATACTATCATTTACACTCAATTTATTGAAGGACTTCTCTTGCAACATTTGTTAACTTATTGCAATAAATTGTAGTTATGATAAGTTAACGATTGTAAAATAAGTAATAGAAGAATATAGTACAAAACAGAGGTGTTTTAATTTTTATTTTAATAAAACTATTTTTTGTTTTGTTATAACTCTCCTAGAAGTATATATCAAATAATGCTTAAGTACCTGAAATCTCAGGTACTTAAGCATTATTTGATATTTACTGCTAGGAGAGGTAGGTACGAAATCTTAATATCAAATTCAAACCAGAATGATACAAAATAGCAAAAACACTGATTGACTGCCTTTATCTATCCTGCGTCTAAACAATTATTAAAACGCTTAAATTTATAGACGATAAAAAATCAATTACTAAATATCCCATTACACCAACTAACTAATGTAGTTAACTAATATAACTGTAATCAACTATATAATATAACTTTAAATTTTTTAATCTGCTTTAATAATTTACAACAAAAATGTATGTATATATGTAAGTATGTATGTTTGTATGTATATATGTATGTATGTATGTATGTATGTATGTATGTATGTATGTATGTATGTATGTATGTATGTATGTATGTATGTATGTATGTATGTATGTATGTATGTATGTATGTATGGATGCATGGATGCATGCATGCATGCATGCATGAATGTATGTATGTATGTATGTATGGATGCATGCATGCATGCATGCATGCATGCATGCATGCATGTATGTATGTATGTATGTATGTATGTATGTATGTATGTATGTATGTATGTATGCATGTATGTATGTATGTATGTATGTATGTATGTATGTATGTATGTATGTATGTATGTATGTATGTATGTATGTATGTATGTATGTATGTATGTATGTATGTATGTATGTATGTATGTATGTATGTATGTATGTATGTATGTATGTATGTATGTATGTATGTATGTATGTATGTATGTATGTATGTATGTATGTATGCATGCATGTATACAAATATATAAAAAATTTTAAATAAAACATTTTTAGGCGCTGGCAATTGTTCTACATTATCTTCATTAAAATCAAAGTTCTTTGGACTACAAACCTTTTACTTTATTCAAGTATTGCTATTTATAGCTTCAACTGTTGTTGGGATTAGTGCTTTGTGTAGCTCAGAAGTATTTTTTATTATTACCTTCTTTTACCATTTAAACATTGTGCTGCTTTGTATATGTTTGTATATTTGTATATCTTTTTTTGATTAAACACCCTGTATGATACGTGGAAACAGTTGAGATTACATTATAGTATTCATAATTTTTGCAAGAGCTGAGTCCCACAATCATTCCCCTAACCATATTATTGAAACTTCTAAAAGTCTTAATAGAAATTTGCTACATAATTATTATAAATATTTGGTCTGATATTTGTAATTAGTTGTGATAGTGTTTGGGAAACGTATTTGAACCCTTCTTTATTTAACTTAAACTCAAAAAAAAAGTTTAAATGAGATTAAGTTAAAATAAGACTTTGAATTTAAAATAAAGTCAAAAAATGACATTAATTTATGCCGACGTTTTTTTTTTTTAATAATCAATATACCAACAAATAAAAATTATTAAAATATTATGGAAAACATTATATTTTGCCGACATCACTTTTTTACATTATCCACATATTAACAAATAAAAGTAACCATTTTTAAAGGTTGCATTAATATTTTTTAATTGTTGATAATTTAATAAAATTAATGTTATCAAAAAATACAAAAAAACACAAAGTAATCTTATGAAACTGCTGTAATTCATGGGTTCATGCTTAGTGCAACCATATAGTTTTGCTTACTTATAATCTTCTTGCTGAAGCTCTTCAGAATGTTTTTTTTTTTAACTGTACAACTAAAAACATGCCATTTGGCTTGCTTACTGATATTAAGCTCTTGTTAACATTATAATGCAAGAATCCAAAAACTCCATCCTCAAACTTTCTTAAATCTCCAATTCATCCAAGAAATATAATTAAAGACCTTAATACAACCTCTGCTTCCGCTATAAATTGTAAATTCTATGATGTTATTGACTTTTATAAAACTATAAAACCTAACTCAGATTTATATCTTCACTTTAACATTACATCACTTCCATATCACATTGGTGATTTGTGCATTCTTATCAGCACATTTATCATACCTATGGCAATAAGGATTATTGAATCCAATTTATACCTTAATGATACCAATAGAACTAACCTATAAATATACCCTAACCCTAACCCTAACCCTAACTTACATTCATTTGATTATAATCTAAAAAATAGATTAATTAATAAAAATTAATCTATTAGTTTTTTATTTTGACATTTGGTTTTTATTTTTTTGATTTTTTAAGTTGTTTACTCAAAAACTAAAATAGTAAAAACTAAAGTAATAGTACCGTCGCCATGATTTATTTCAGGGGTTGCATGAAGAGTCTTTTTTCTTTCTACACCTCCTCCCACCCCATTACGCAACAAAAACTTTTTCTGTATATATATGTACCTACTAAATACATGAGCCCAATCTACAAATATTATTTATGACTCAGTCATTTAAAATTGTAACTGACTGGTCAGTAGCTTTTTGTCTGTCAGTAATTACTGAATAATGACTCAGTCATTTATACTGATTTATATATTTTACGCGGTAACATATTTTTCTTGTTAAAATCATGAACATTGTTTTTGGGGGCAGAGTATATATTAGCATACATGCAAATAATTTAAATGCAATAGATTTGAAATAACGTTTACTTAGTTTAAGCATAGTCACAAAAATAGATAGTCTGGAAACACGTAACAATTGATTTCGAACTTTTATGTCAAAATTGTAATTTCGGCCCGCTGAAAGTGCAAAACAAACATTAAAGTGAATCATGAAAAGTGGAGAGTTGCAAGTTCTTTTGAGTTTGATAGAAACAGATCAGTTTGAAAGCGATTCATTTTATCAAGAAATCGAAATAGCAGCTTTAGAAGAATGTAAAGAGACTTTAAATTGTAGTGATTGCTCGAAGGTATTCAAAACAACTAGTGGTCTGAAAAGGCATATAAACTTAAGCAGAAAGATCTTGTGCCTACTGACAACCTTGTCGAGGTTGTCGGTAGTGAATCAGTTTATTTAAATAAAAACACACAATTATGTATTTAAAGTACACAATTCAGAGATCTATTGACTAACGCAAGACATAAACTGTCAACAGATGATTGTTTTTGTAATGAAGATCGAGAATGTTTTAAAAGCATGGTTGTCACTGAATCTGAGTATTTCCAAGTTGAATCTTTTTTTTAAAAGAAATGCATGAACTTAAAGGCAATGATGAAAAATTTTATTCTTTACTCCACCATAAGTATACAACTGAGTCAGTTGCGATAAAAACAATACCAAAGGAGCTATATTATTTATTGTTAGCAGAATTAACAACATTATGTCTAAATTTTTTGATTACAAAAGAATCTAAACTTATTGGTGAAGATTCGAATCTAGAAATAAATTTCTCTGAAAAAGACATAAGATGCTTAGAATATATTGCAGGTAAGTTATTTCAAAAACTGTACTCTAAGTTGAGAAATAAAAAAATTAACGATGGTGCAATATCTGGACAATGGCTTGATATTAGTAGATAGTAGAGATAGAGGTGGATTGTGGAAAATGAATACACTAGTAATAAATATTTTTAGTGAATGTGAAAAAAAATTTAGAATACATACTAGCGTAAATTTTAGAAAAATTGACAGTAAAGTATTGGCTTCACAATTATTAAATAACTGTTTTGTCAAGTCCTGCTTTTATCAAATATGTGACCTTCCTGAAACAGAAATAGACAAAGTAGTTGCTAAAACTTTATTATATTATTTAGTGATGCTTTTTATTCGTGTTCGTTCACATTCACACACAAAGCAAATAAAAGAAAAATTCAAAAACAAAAAAAAAATAACAAAAGCAGAATCTTTACGATCATCATTAAATAAGTTAAATAAGATCAAGAAAAATATTTGCGGTAACTGAGATTTACAATCAAATTTCCTCTCATCAGTATTTTATCAATCTATGCAGATGGATAGAAAAACCATATTTATAAGAGTATTACAGTTCCAGTTTATAATACTTATCAAACAGCTATTTTCATAGCTACAAATTAAAATAATTACATTAATGGTTAGAAAAAATATTTTTATTAATTTATTATTTTAATCAACTTATTTTATTTATTTTAATCAAATATTGTGTTTTTTATCTTTACAAAATAATGTATGACATTCTTTAAAATTTTAAAAGTTTAGGCTTTTATCAGTAGTCAGAGTTAAATTATAATAGGTTTTGGTAAAATTTGATTTTTAAATAAACAAACAGTATTTTTCGGGAAGACAAATAATATCTACTGATAAACTAATTTAAAAAATGTTTTATGAAATAAGGTTTTCCAAAAAAAAAACGATCATAATTCAATTAAGTTGATTTATTTTTTCTAAGTTTCTTGGAAACCGGTGTATCATCAATTACCCATTCATTAGTATACTGTCTAACATTTCCACCGAGGGGTTGAATTGTAAATTGAGATTTTATGATATTATCATTGTATCCAGTGTCTTTAAGGTTAGGATTATCCCTACTGCAACCTATAGTTCTCTGCTTACCAAAGTAGTTCTCCAATGCGTCTTGACAAAATATTTCAGTTAATATGTATAAAAATCCTTTGCTTAGTAAGTATTGAACGCATTCAACTAAGGAATTTACCGTTCTAGACCTTCAAATGTCTGATTTGATATGAACATTTTATTAAGTTCTTTTTTACAAAATGTTTCTGGCCTTTTTTCTATGCTTTCTCTCCAGTCTACAAAATATTTTAGAAAAGTGTTTTTTAACCAGTAAAACCTTTCATCTGAACAATCGGTATAACGTTTCAAAAATACTTTACTATTTTTGAGGTGCTCTTTAGTGTTTGTGACATTGCAGCAATCAAAAAATTTATCCATTAACAGACAGAAATTTGCTGTCTCAGAAGCCTCATCTGGCCCGAATTCAAGCAATGTATTGCCAACTGTAGCACTTAAAGTTTGAACTGCTAATTTTACGTTCATAACAGGGTATGCATTTAATACTATATGGTAAGTTTAGAAAAATAATTTAAATTACATTCTATATCTTCATAGTAAAACTTAGCAATATGACTTCAGAGAAGATATGTTCCATTATTCCACATATATCTTGAACAACGGTTAGATCCAGAGTTGCTCAAACAGTTTCTTGATGTTTTGATAAGATGAGGAGGATCAGAAAAAAACCATATATATATTGTTCATCATCTGCATAAATATTTTTTGTGCGATATGTTATACCATTTGCTTTGTTGTCATTATTCATATGCATTTTATAAAATGCATGATTTGGTTAAGCTCCATCGCAAGTCACAGCTATAACTTTTAATTTACATGTTCTTTCCAATATTGCAACAGCACGCCAAAATATTGGAAAAATCTGGAATGACATAATACTATCAATAGCAAATCTTGCAAAAGCATAAGAAAAGGGATTCATTGCACTTCTAATAAAAAAAACTAAAATATGTGAAGCTAAAGTATCAGTTTTTTAAAAAGTTGCCTGAGTAAGATCATCATCACCAAGATCAACAAAAATAATTAAATCACCTGTGTGCTTATCCCACACAAGGTCATTTTGAATTTTCATTTCATCAAAAGAAAGTATAATGTATTGTTCAAGTGCTGAAAAGTTTGAAACTAATTAAGCAAGCTCCTGAACATATTGACTGTTAAAACCCCTTTGTGGTTTGATGTAGTTTCTAAAGTCTCTTAAAGTGCGTTGAGAAGGCAAAACTAGTATACCTTTTCCACCTTTTTGTAAACGCAGAAGATCATATGCAGCTGGAGATTTTGCATACAAAGCTAAAGATTTTTTTCTTACCATTGGATGGTATCGTGTTTGAGATGGATGTTCTGTTAAATATTTTAACTGTTCTGAAAGGAATAATTTCATGAAAGACGAAATTTCTCTATTTAAATTTACCTTTTCTGAGAAACTATTGATAATTTTTTGAAGATCTTGATGGATGTTTTCTCCAACTGATACTGCATTTTTTTTTCAATGGCTTGCCTGAGTTCCATTTGCTTTTTTAAATATCTATTTTTA